AATATAGATTTAGAAGAATGAGAGAAACTGTGGAACATAAATTATAAGCTAACAATATCCTCATCATACAAAGAAAACCTGTATAAAATGTTTTATAAATAAATTTATAAATAGATAGATAGATAGATAGATAGATAGATAGATAGATAGATAGATCAGCAAGCAAGCTACCCAGAGTCACTTTATAAGGGTGATGGGTGGCATAAAATGTAATAAATAATAATAAAAAAAAACCAAATTGCTTATGATATATCATGACAAACATTGTTTTAACAGAGGACTTGGAAATGTATTGGAAGTCCTAAAACAATACATTTTGAGGAGATTAGAACACCAGTTCTAATTAAGGAACTGTTGGATAAATGTGACATCAACACATTCTTATTTTGTCTGAAAGGTACAATATAGAAACAAATTGCTGAAATCAGATCAGACTCTTGCTTAGAATCCTCATAGATCCCCTCTTCCTGATATCCCATCCCATCACAAATAGTAAAATAAATAATAAATGTCTGTATGGGAAATTATGTTATCTGCTTTTCTAAACGCATCTGTGTTAGTGGTCTGCTTATGCAATACACTTTCAAGCATGAGGTTTGCAGCCTTGATTTTAAAGGAAAATTTACTCCACCTGCTGGACTGATTGAGAATTCCCTACAACTTTAAAAAAAAAACCCAAAAACAAAAAAAACCCCACATCATTCCAGAATATATTTATACTGTATTTAGAAATGCACACAATTTAGAACTGCAAAATTCAGGAATGAAATATGTGGGGACTGGAAACTAAATGAAGAAATGCATCTACGAGAAATTGGCATAAAGAGAGTTTCATGTATAGCTTGCATCTAGATTTTAAGTACTTAACCTGCTATTGTCCTTGATTTTGAGAGAATGGAAGTAAGGTTAAAAAAAGGGAGTGGCCACTGGCTCAGTCTCTACCATCAGCACCAAGCAAAGAGGAGTTTGTTTACAATGTCCAGTAATTTGTTTGTTATTTGTTAGTTTATTTACAATATTCAATATTAGAACTTTATTTTACTTTTGCTAAGTAATGAAATCTTTTGCTTCATTTCTGAAATGAAGGCTGGCAATTAGGATGTATGGAATTTCCAACATATCTCCAAGATATTAAAAAAAATGAATTAAGCTATTAGTAGTATAGGAAAAATATTGTCACAACATGTAACTAGGGATTACCCAATAATTTAAAAAAAAATTATTTAGGAAATGGGCAAAGGGCCCACCAATTGTTTTTGCCAATAAAACCACCTGTTTCAATGAAGTATAGTAATAGAATATGTAATTAATTTCAGAAAATATAGTTAAGGGCCATGTCTATTACAGTTATGGATTGTTTTGGAGAACAGGATGATCTGGACCCCTTTCAATCATGGTTCAGACCTAGGTGTGAGGCAAAGAGAATATTAGTTGCTCTAAGGCAGGGGTGTCAAACTCACATCATCATGGTAGCATCATGTGACATATCAGGACTCCCCCGCCCCTTCGCTAAACTGGGTGTGACCCAGTGTGTGTTGCATCCAGCCCATGGGTTAGGAGTTTGACAGCCCTGCTCTAAAGGATGGCTATTGGTGAGAAATGGATCGGACTTGTGTCTCTGGTCTTATCAGCCCACTCAGCAGCCTTCAGTACCGCTGACCATTGCACCTTTCTGGATTATCTGACAGTATTCTGTACTGGGTAGGGGTGGGCTGCTGTGGGTTTGCACAGGTTCGGGTGATCCTCTAGCTACGATTCTGTGCAGTTCAGTGAACCCACAAATCCCACCCCTGGCTGGCCCCTCTTATCCTGCCCCACCCCACCCACCTGGCCCTTCCCCTCCCAGGAGCCCCACGCAGCTTGTTTTGGATGCCAGGTAAATACAGGGCCTGTGTGAAGGCTCAGGGAGGGCAAAAAATGTGCCTCCCAGAAGTTCCGGAAGATGCGAAATGGGCCTAAATCCAGCCTCCTGAGAGCCTCCAGCGAGAGGCCATTTTTGCCCTTACGGAGGTTCAAGGAAAGCCTCCAGAGCCCAGGGAGGCAAAAATGCCTCCCCACCTTGATGCAGGTGGCTGACTAGGCCACACCCACCATGGCCATGCTCACCTGGGCAGAGAACCAGTTGCTAAATTTTTTGAAGTTCTCCTGCTACAGGGGAACATATTTTGAAAATTTTCTATTCCTCCTCTTTTCTTGGTTCTGATGGTAGAGACTGAGCCAGTGGCGACTCCCTTGCCTCATGGCTTAGTTCTTTATCCAGAAAGAACTACTTACTGGGCAGAACAACTGCCTGAAGCCACTGGGAGAGGTCACCAATCAGTTTGGGGTGTGGTATCATTTAGTATGCTACCCTGGCAAGACTGAAGGTGATATCTTGTCCCAGTGTCCAGATCTGGATGGGACAGAACAGGTTAAATTTGAATTCATCTTGACTGAGTTGCTGTCTATGCATTTTGGCTGTCCGTCAGCACCTAGCATGATCTCTAGATGAGGAAGCATTGTTTCTGAAGGAGCAAGTCCATGACTTAGGGTTCTTTCTCCATTCGTGGTTACTGCTGATTAGTCAGGTGGAGGCCAGGGGCTTTGGCCAGTGATGATTGGTTCACTTGTTGCAGTGCAACCTGAAATGGGAGTTACATTTCACTGAAGTGCCATAGTGAAGAGGGATCTACAGTAATTCATGCCCTATTCACCATCCACTTAGATTACTGCAATGTACTATAATTGAGACAACTTGCCTTGGCCAACTCGTCGTGGGACAACTCACTGCAGGACTGATTCAACAAATGAAGTTAATTAATTTTGATAGAACTGTGGCCAATAATAATAATAAAATAAAGAAATTCAACTAAAAAATACAGGAGTTACAATAACTTTGATGAAAGCATGGTCACCAATAATAAAAGTAATTGAATGAAATGATTAATACAGCATTGAATTATCGGATGGCAAATTGTCCTTCAGGAAGTTGGCCCCAGTGAGTTGTCCTAGACCTCTTTGGGGCTGCCTCAGAAGATTGTCTGAAAAGAACAATTAGTTCAAATGCAGTGGCACATATCACATGTATTATACCTGTGTTTTGGGTCCTCCATAGGCTTCCAGTACCCTTTCAGCTGCATTTCAAAATTGCTGGTTTTGACCTATGTGATTTGGCATCAAGTTATTTTTAAGACTACATTCTCCAATTGTAATAGCGCAATTCATTCAGTTATCCCTGGAGGACCTATTGGTGGGCCCTCCAATTCTATGAAATAAGTTGGGTGTTGGAGAGTTGAAGCATGAAGAGTATTCCTTTTCTTTGGCAGAGCCTATTTGCTAGAGCAGCCTCTCAACTGAGATTAGACTACAGGTAGTCCTCAGCTTATGACCAAAATTGAGCCCAAAATTTATGTTGTTAAGTGAGACAATTGTTCAGTGAGTTTTGCCCAATTTTAGGACCTTGCTTGCCACATTTCTTAAGTGAATCACTACAGTTGTTAAATTAGTAATACAGTGAATCTGGTTTTCCCATTGATGTTGCCTGTCAGAAGGTTGCGAAAGGAAATCACATGACTCCAGGACACTTCAACCGTCATAAATGTGAGTCAGTTGTCAAGCATTCAAATGTAAATCACATGATCTTGGGGATGCTGCAACAGTCATAAGTGTGAAAAATAATCATGTCACTTTTTTCAGTGCTGTTGTAACTTCAAATGGTCACTAAGTGAAGTATTGTAAGTTGAGGACTACCTGTAGTTTCTTGGTTGGCTGTTTTGCAAGAGGTTGAAAGCAGCTCTTCAAATATATTTTGTGGACTTAATACTTACCATATGAGCTTCTGTCTGTGCTCACTTGGTTTTCCTTATGATATTGTTTTTATAGGTGTTTATTTATTTATTCTGGAAACTATGGTATGTATACTTGTCTGTTAATCACCAGAGATCCTAGTAAATTATGGTGGTTTCCAAGTCAAATATGGGTTGCAGGAGTAAGAGAAATATATTTCAAGTGCTGTCAAAGTGCTCGTCTCTGGTAGCATCAGACAGACATTTCTTTTATTTCTATTTTTGGTGGGCAAAATATGATCAATCACAGGACTAATCAAGAATAGACTGTAATAAACTTTTTTGCTTTTATCTTCTCATTGCTACTCTTATCATTACATGGAAAAAAGCAAGACAGTAAAGACTAGGTAAGAAGGTAAAGTGTTCTTTGCTTTGTTTGATATATATAAGAACAGGAGATGTCGTCAACAGCATTTAAAGAAAATCAATATAAAATGTTTTGTAGGTGGCACCTAGCCCCAGCAAGACTGGCCAAAATGTATCCAAACACAAAAGCAGAATGTTGGAAGTGTAAACACAAAGAAGGAATGTTCTTCCATATGTGGTGGCAGTGTCCAGAGGTTAAAAAATATTGGATGAGGGTACAAAGATGGTTATTAGAAATTACAGAGCACAAATTAGAACTCGAACTGGAAATATTCTTATTAGGAATAATTAAGGGAAAATTGAGTAAGGTCATCCAGTACCTCATTATACATATCATACCTGCGGCGAGAATAGCCTTCGCACAGGGATGGAAGAAGGAAAAGATACCATCTGAAGAAGACTTGACACAAAAAAGAATGGATTGTACAGAACTGGATAAATTCACAATGGAATTAAGAGGCAAAGATGATTCAGACTATTATGCAGTTTGGGATAGGTGGTACAAATGGGTGGAGGATAGAAAGAAGAGTTGATGTTTATCTCTCAAGGAGAGATATGTATTAACGACATGAACACTGTTAATGTGAATAGAGATTTGTATTTTTGTTTTTTAAAAATAAAAATATTTAAATAAGGAATAGGAGATGTCAATGGATATCAAAACTCCTTTATAAATAAATAAATAAATGGAAGTTGCTTTTATGTTGGACATAACTGAAAGTGTTTATAAGCACAAATGCAGTGAGCTTTGTACCTTGCAATTCTTCATGCTGCTTTTTGAAAGTGATGGCTTCTGTCCTTATTTTTCAGGAAACCTACAATGCAGAATGTGAGTTTGTGGAAAGGATCCATGAGCTGGGCTATAACACCTATGTCTCCCGCTTGTATCGGACTGTGCCCAACAGCACTAGCAGCAAACGCAAAGCTACTGCAGACAGACTCTGGTATGTCTCCATCAATGGGAAAGGACGACCCAGGAGGAGCTTCAAAACCCGTAGGACCCAGAAATCATCTCTCTTTTTGCCTAGGGTGTTGGATAACAAAGACCATGACATGGTCCAACTGTTCCATACAAATGCTAAGTACAGAGAAGGCCTATTGAAGCCACTAAATAAGAACCAGAGAAGAAGGAGAGGACACTAGGAAGCATTCTGCAAGTGGGGAAAATATGATGGATCCGAAGTAAGACACACAAAAATGCTACTATTCCATGGATATCGTTGGCTAAACCATATGGACCCAGTAACAAATGATTCCATGTAAACACATCCACACACAAATATTCTTGGTAATAGATGGTTTAGATGTTTATCCGATTGCTAAGGATATATAATAAATTAAAGCATGCTTGCATGTACGTTATCGTGATGAAATAATGAGTTTGAGTATTCCTTGTCAGTTTCTTATTTTTAATGCCCCGGGAGCATTTCAGCCTTGTCCATAATAGGCCTGTCACTTTATTCGAATAAGAGTTTAATTAATTATGTTTAGGCAAAAGCTGCCTGTAAGAAAACAGTTATTTTAAGGGGGGGGGGGGGAGCCTTTCCTTTCTCCATCAAAACAGGTTAGATGTTCTTGTGAGATGTTTGCTCTTTGTATTTTTCCATTTATTAAGAATAATACTTTAAAGTATGTTGCCCAGTTAATTTGGGAATGCCTTTTAACTAAGTAATTTTAAGTAATTTCACATATCTTATTAATAATTAAAGGTTGCAGCTTTGGATATTAGATGAAAAATATCACATGTTTTTTTCTTTCCCAATTATAAACATTTAGAGAAAGATATGTTTTATTATGTAGACTCCTTTTTTCTTTTTCATTTCTTTTCTTCATTTTACTGAACAGTAAGGCATCAAATACTATATATTCTTTATACTAATATTAGATGTTAAGTGGAAGAACTTTTTGAAATTGCAAGAGACAGTTACCAAGATTTTGAGTGTTTTTTAAAAGATATTTTGCTTGACCAAAATTTGTACATACATTTTCCTTATTTAAGAAAGTATAAACATTTTTTTCAAAATATATTGCTTCAGCAGAACAAGTAAACAAAATAATTAAACTCACTGAGTTGAATCCAGATTTTGTTTCTCCTGATAAGTAGGAGTTAGTTTTGCTACAACTTTCTGGAAATATGTGGAAATTATTTTGATGGAAAGAAAGGAGGTATTCATAAAAAAAATAATCTCTATGGCCCTTTCCATAGGTGGCCGCATCATAAATTTTCAAATCTTACTTGTGACACATGTGGATATTTTTAATATGGGATTGTATATGGAATGAAAGGAAATGAAACATTAGTTTCTGTGAGTTTTTCTTTTGTATTATTGAACCATTCACTAGAAACAATCTGCTGTAGTACCTGTTTATGAAAGTTTTCCTTTTTCAATAGCATCATTTAAAGTGTTTTGGGACTTCAGAAAAGAAGTTATTATGTTATGATTATTTTCTCAGAAAATTAATTTATTTGACATATTAAGCACATACAGATAATACTGAAATCCTCTGAATTACCAACATTGGTTAGGTTGTTCATGCTTTCTTCACATAAAAATAGCTAAAATGATGCATGTAAGTAGCATTACTAAGAAGCTGACGGGACAATAATTTTCAATTATATCAATCACAAATATTTTGTTTAATTTCTAAACTAATACTGATAATATACTTCACAGTGTAAGGACCTACCGGTATTGTTGATGCCTTATCTATTCTCCACAGAACTGTTGAAAAAGAGTTCCCACATTAGATGGAGGTTTAAGAAAAGAGTCCTTCCCTAAAGTTAAAAAAAAATGTAGCCCAACTTACACCACAAAATACATTGATCATTTCATATAAGGCAGATATTTTTTTCCATGTATGGAAAGTATGAAGTAATGGCGAGAAGCAGGATTGTGACACAACCTTCTAAATCTAGCTAGATTGCTCTTTCCACTGTGGTAAAGCATGTTCTCTTGCCAATAGTAAACTAAGATTCAGTTGCCAATCTAGTTGTCTTCTCTATATCTGGATACATGTGAAAAGAAGGAATTTTGTTGTTTTGCTTCAGGAATGGAAGTATCTTTCCCTGAACTTGGTGCTGACGACATAGCCACATTATTTGGCATAAAGAAGCTTCTAGGAAACAAAGCTCTTAGATCATAGATCATCTGAATTATCTGATCCAATACAACCTGAAGTACTACCAGTATACCACAAATGAAAAACACAACTCAGTTCAAAAAACCATATTGATAAATTTTCAATTCAATTCAAAATGATAGTGATAAATTTGAGTTACAGTCCATACTCTCTGATCATTGTCCTGCTTTGAACTGAGTTGATACTAATAATAATTCAAGTCTCATTAAACTATATAGTTATACATAAACTAAACTTTTAAAAAAACACATCAAGTTCTTTTAAAAAGGAATCAGTGGGAAGACAGACATTTTTTGAGTGAGATGGGCAGTTTTTAGTTAATAAATTTTTTTTAATACTAAAATATAAATTAACACTTTCTCCCACTGTATTTGGGACAAGCTGCCTTTCTGGAAAAGTCAGAGAATGTCAATGTGCCTTTGCTTGTGCATGCTATTAAATGGGTTCTGAGTTGTTGCTATCTTTTCTGTGCCTGGATAAGTAAGAAAATGTGAGTTTTTGGCTTAATTGTAACATATGATAATTTAACCATTTATTCATATGAACTGGACCAAACTGGGTAGATAACACCACTAGCTAAATGGCAAATGATTATAGAGTTGTGGTGTCCTACTGGTTAGAATGTAATATTGTAGGCTAACTCACTGCTGACTGACAGGAGTTCGATCTTCCATGGTGAATAAAATGAAGACCCAGATTGTTGGGGCAGTATGCTGACCTTTGTAAACTGCTTAGAGAGGGCTGTAAAGAACTATGAAGTGGTATATAAGTCTAAATGCTACTGCTATTATTAACATTTACAGCATTCCTTCCTTGGGAAACTCTAGCTTCCAATGTTTCTTCTGTAATTAGATTCCAGTATAGAGTAACTCCTGCATCAATTTCAACCAAAATGCTTAACAGCATTCACAGTTCCAATGAAACTCCAATGCTGTCTCAAAAGATTGGTATTTGTTGGATCTAAAGCAGAGTCAAAGACAGAGGCATTAAAGAAAGTTGATTAAACAATGAACTTTCATGAGATCTACAAACTTTATCAGAAGGAACTGGAAAACTGAGACTAAAATGTTACTGATCTTTAAATGAATGTCAGGTTCTCATTGCTACCTAATTTCAGAAATAGTGCGGTTGCAAAGAAATATAGCCATAACAAAACAAAATTAGATTGGATTTAAGAAGGAAGCAATTTTATGCTTTCCACTCCACCCATTTGTTTTCTCTGCCTTTCTTTTCTTTTTTTCCCCACTAGTAAAATCCTTTCTTCATAGAAAGAAGTATTAGGTGCTTTAAAAAAAGGAAAAGAAAGAAAAGCTATTTTAAATAGGCCTTTGAAGATTTCAGTAAAGCTCAAGTTCAAATGTCTCCTGTTTCCTTTTGGAAGATCTGAAGGATTTGGGAAGGTGAACAAGCAAAGCTATAATTAAAGAACAGTTGATGTTAGTCATCCCCTCCTGGTAGCATTCTAAAGCTACCTCCAAATATAGATGGCAAAAGAAAACTTCATCCCATTTTAGTTTTGCAATAGTTCAGATGCCTCTGTGAGAGAGCAGGAAGAAAGCTCTTCAGAAACCTTGAGTCCCTGGATAATACAGAAACTATTTTTTCAGAGTATAATTTTTCAGAGTTGTATTTTTTCTTTGAGGATTCAAAGAACATACTCCAGAGTATGTTATAAGATAACACTATTGCATAATCATTTCAGACATATCACTCTCATAATTCTCCATTCCATCCCTTTTCCATTTTTCTCCCAAGCCCTTCTATCTTTTCCTACCCTCCTGTCTTTTACATCCCTCCCTCTCTTATATGAAACAACAAAAAACCAACAGTTCTACTTAAAAAAACATTTCACACACAGACATGTACCACACACATGTAATGATTTCACTAAGGCTACATAAGCATATAACAAAATAGACATCTTCTAACAAGCTTGTCACGTCTAATTGACATCACCTCTATGAAATTTACCTCAGGACCTCAAACTTTTTAAAACTGACCCCCAAATCTTTCAGAAAAGAAAGCATCTTGCAAAATAGTAGCCACCATACCAGAAGTAGAAGGGCCTACCACCTCACTGACATTCCACCTGAGATGAAATATTTCTTCGTGCTTATTAATACCATCTCTGGTTTTTCATTCATTCAAAGAAAGTCCATGACTTTAAGACTGTGCAGTGTAACTGCATCATATGGGTGTTGTTAGCATAAAGCTATTATCTCTAAAGATGCTTTCTGACATCTGAGTTAATCATCTTTACTTCTGGACAAAGACCAGGAAGCTTAATATGAATGTTCTGAGAAAGATGCAACTTCGAAAGAAACTCCTCTGTTTGTTTTGTTTTTATTTTGACAGAAAGTGGAATCAAGGAAATAAAGAGAAAGAACCAAGGAACAAACAAACAAAAAATAGAAAAAATCAGGGGTGGGATGCTACCGGTTCTGCCTGGTTCTATAGAACCGGTAGCTCTGAAGAGCAGCACACACTCAACTGGTTCTGTGTTTGCTGCTGTTTGGTCAACCCGGTCACCCGAGCTCTTAACTGTCCTTTATTTCCTGCTTTTTCAACCTCAGCTGATTTTTTTACACGCGTGCACAGCAAAATGTAGTAACTGAACTGGTAGTAACAGTGATTGAATGCCACCCCTGGAAAAATCCTTTACAACCTATGTAGACTTAAACAAGAATTTTCAAATAACTTTAGATTAATATGCATACAAACAGATTTTATATGTACCCATTTAAAATTGTTATTAGAACAAATAGTGCAAATGGGTGTGGAATCTTCTTGGAACTACTGAAAATACTTTACAACACAGTCCTTTGAGCAGTTCCAAGAAGATTTCACATCCATTTACACTATCAGATGACCCTGAGGGCATAGATAAACCTCCAAGTGGCCTCAAAAACTCTTAGAGTGAGTGCTAATGACCAGATAACTGCAAGAAATATAAATCCTTCCATTCTCCCTCATTTGATCAGAATTTAAAAAGCTTCTTGGGTGAAAAGTGAAACATCTTCAAGGAAAAAACAAAGAAGTCCAGTTGCCTTTTGAAAAGGCACCTTTAAGATTTTCAGTAGGAAGCTTAAAATAACCT